GGTACAGTCATGCTTTTTTGAGTGTATAGCGCATACGACAACACGCGCACACACACAAGCGGTCATGCCACTGGGTGTCCTTGGCTGAGTGGGTGTGTAGAGTGCGTTTTATGTCTGTGTCAGACTAGCTCCTCAGACTTACTGCCGTTCTTGTCAGGGGTTTGGACCCCTGACACATCTGCTAGGATTGCAGGGTTGGTTGGTGTGAGTAAAGTCGACCACTTTTCTATCTCAAGGATGGGTATCGATAACTCTGGGCGATGTGGCGAGTCCTTATCCATCAGTCAAATGCATCCTGGCCAGACTGTCCGTCCAGGTTCAACCTCCTGATGAGTAAGTGTGAAAGTCTGGCGAAACAGTCTCAGACTGGCGCATTCATGCTTTTTTTTGAGTGTGTAGTGAACACACACATACACACACCCACACACCCACACCCCCGCCCGCCCGCACGCACGCGCACACGCACACCGGCATTCGTCCACCTCATGCCTGCACGCACGCTCGCACGTGTGCATGCACACACACACACTCACACACGATAGCTTCCAGCATCCGTCCATCTCTTCTTGCTTGTGCGGAGCACATTTTGTCTGTTAAGCAGTGAAAGATGGTGTGGGCCTTTCCTGTGAATCATCCACACTCTCATTACCTGCCTCACCCAAGCTCACAGTTGTTGATGTTGTCATTCTGGCCACCTTCCTGTCACATCTTGCAGTGGCCTTTTTCACTCGACGCTGAACGATACCCAGACAAGAAAATGGCCCGGAACATCAGTAGCTGCGTGAACAAACAATCCTGTTCTATTCGCCGCCACAGAAAGTGGCGAGGAGCAATCATTTGCAGAGGGAATGTTTGAAGATCACTTAGCAGTTCATACGTACCCAGCTTCTGCACCTTGCACACACTACTGTCGTAACCTTAATACAGACTAACTTCCAGTCCAGATACAGTGATAATGTCCGGGTGTGCTACTTGGGTGAAGATGGCAGCGCCGCCACAGAAAGTGGCGAGGAGCAATCATTTGCAGAGGGAATGTTTGAAGATCACTTAGCAGTTCATACGTACCCAGCTTCTGCACCTTGCACACACTACTGTCGTAACCTTAATACAGACTAACTTCCAGTCCAGATACAGTGATAATGTCCGGGTGTGCTACTTGGGTGAAGATGGCAGCGCCCCCCCCCCCTCTTCTCATTTCTGGTGGCCAGAATGCAGACACCCTTAGAGGACACCTGCCACCTCCAGAGTCCTGGTGCATGTGCTTATCGCCGACTTCTCGAGTTTTTGCTTTTCTTTTCCCCCGCGGTCTGAGGGACAAGGACAACTCTACAGGTCTTTTTTTTTTTTTTTTTTTTTTTTTTTTAAACATCCAAAGATATTACAAGGTACAATCTATACTCGACAGGGCTTCACTAAGTTTTACTTCATAAATATTAAATACTAATTAGCGATTAAACCTCAGAGATTTTGAAAGTGTTCTGATCCCTATGTTTAAACCATAAGTACTTCCTAAAGTCGTGCCCGTTAACAAGCCACAAGTTTAGGGAATGTACAGGCCACTACAGGAGCGCCCAAATTCATTTGGGTAGAAACGTTTCTACTCTATTTTTTTCTTTCGGCCGATAGCTGGGCCAAGTACTGGTGGTTTAACCAGTGGTCGGGTGCACAATTCATTACGTGAACTA